AATCATTCTTTTAGACCAAACAGATTTTAGCTGTATTATGTTTTTGTCTGAGCTGTTATTTACTTAATATTTTTCTCTATGTTGACTTTTTGTTTGTTGTTTATTTTTGTTTTTGCAGGACTAGGGATATTGAGCTACATCCTCAGCCCCTTTTGTTATTTATTTATTTATTTATTTATGCCGGGGATTTAGCTCAGTGGTTCTGGCGCCTGCCTTGCAAGCGCAAGGTCCCAAGCTTGATCCCTGGTACCAAAAAAAAAAAAGACAAAATTATTTATTTATTTGTTTATTTTCTTTCTTTCTTTTTTTTTTTTGGTACTGGGGATTGAACTCAGGACCTTGTGTTTGCGAGGCAGGCATGGTGCCACTGAGCTAAATCCTGGACCCTTGTTTTTTATTTTGAGACAGATTCTTGCTAAGTTGCCCAGGCTGGCCTCAAACTTGAGATCCTCTTGCCTCAGTCTCCTGAGTGACTGGGATTACAGGAGTGCACTCCAAATTGGCTTTTAAACTTTATTTAGGATAATCTGTATCATTATCTTTACTAGAAAACTTGTATCATTGACCTAAGAAAACAAAACTATAAAAATATAGTACAGTGAAACCAAAACAATGTTATTACATTCTTACCTAGACTTCGATACTTGTGAAACTGAGACTTGTTTTTTTTAAAAAAAAAGATTAGCAAGTACATTAGAGAAGTGAAAGGCTGGAACCAAACTGACGCTTTCTCTTTAATGTAAAGGAAATATTAGAAAAGTGATCAGCTTTCTCAATGAGTGTTATGTAGAGCTGTCTCAAGGACCACTTAAAATTTTCATTTGGAATCGTATTTACCCTTGCTTTGTGAAACATTGCTTAAACCAGTGCCTCTTATTGTTTCCTCTGATTTGTGGGTGGCTAATTTTGGCCAGCTCCTTTTATTAAGGGAACAACAGCAATCCCCAGGGGCAAAATTGCAATTACTCTTGAATAACTTTAAAAAAATTTACTAAAAAGTGTGTCATTTAGGATATTATTTTTATTGGCCTGTTTTCTCCAAGGGCACAAGATGTATATTAGAGAGTTAGTAATATTAAATGAAAATGGACTTCTCCCAAAAGAGCAACCAGTTAATCTGCAGTCATCTAAGAATTCAGGAAAAGACAGGTTGATATCAAGCTGAATGTAATGAAGTATGTTAGTTATTTTAAAAAAAATTTTTTTTTTTTTGGTACTGGGGATCAAACTTGGGACCCTGTGCTTGCAAGGCAGGTGGTGGCACCACTGAGCTAAATCCCAGGAGAAGTATGTTAGTTAAAAGTCTTTTGGAGGGCCTAGTTAAAGTCAGGGGGAGGTTGCTAGAAACCCTCGTGGGAGGCGAAGGCAGAAATTTGTAATACCTTGGGTCCTCCTGGAAACTGGGAAGCTGTCAGGATCTGAAGCTTCTTCCTTAGTTGCCCATCTCAGCTTTTCTTTGTCTTTGCTTGGTGTGTGCCCCACCCAACCCAGAAGTACTCAGGATTGAACCCAGTGAGTGCTTAACTACATCCCCCAGATATTTTAAATTTTATTTTGAGACAGGGTCTCCCTAAATTCCCTAGCCTGGTCTTAAACTTGCAACCCTTCTGCATCAGCCTCCCCAGGAGCTGGGATTACAGGCATGTTCTTCAGACTGGTTTTTCCTGCTATTTCCTCACCTCACCCAGGGTCTCATCTGTTGGCTCTGTGGCCATCCCAAGCTGTGTTAGCCTCTCCCTCACAAACTTCATCAGGACTCCCTTTCCTTTTAGATGTTTGGTAGAGGCAGGAGGATGGTGAGTTCAAGGTGAGCCTGGGCAGCTTAGCTGGACCTTATCTCAAAATTAAAAAAAAAAAAAAGAGGGATGGGATAGCAGTGTAGCACAGTGGTAGAGTACTTGCCTAGCATGTGTTGCAGTCCCCAACACACCCTAAAGCCTCTTCAAAACCAAAAATTTAGAGCTGCCACTGGTAAGGCTAGATTCAAAAGACTTATGATTTCTCAAGTGGGGTTCCCCATGGCTTACTGATTCAGGCTTCTGATTTTGTAATTACAAATTACCAGGAAGAGACCTAATTTGTGTCTTGTGGTTGCATGTCTACCCTGGGGTGGACTGCAAGTTACTCTGTCTAGACATGGTCATGTAGTTCTATGTCATCACCAGGGGCATAGAAACCATTCTTACAGAAGAGAGCATGGTCACATTGGTAAAGTATATCAGAGTCAACCTCAGAGGGAATAGGAAAATACCCTCTAGTCCTACGCTTTGATCTCATTTATGGGTAAATCCTCAGCATTGGGTCTCTGCTCTTTGAGAAAGTTTACTCTTGATCTATTCTATTTTATTTATTGAGACAGGGTCTTAATACATAGTTTGGGCGGGTCTTGAGCTCACTGTGTAGCCCAAGCTGGCCTTGAATTCAAGGTGATTCTCCTGCCTCAGCCTCCTGAGTGCTGGGATTACAGATGTGTGCCACCATACCTGGCTTGGTATGTTTATTCTTTTTTTTGTGTGTGTGTGTGTGTGTGTGTGTGTGTGTGTGTGTGTTTTGAGACAGGCATTGTGTAGCCCAGGCTGGCCTTGAACTTATCTTCAGCAATCCACCTGTCTCAGCCTCCTGAGTGCTGTCTTTCTAGGCATGCACCACCATGCCTTGAAAGTGTTACATCTTTGATCTTCCTTTCCAGTTATGCTTCCCTAGAGAAGGAGTTTCTTTTTTTTTTTTTTTTTTTTAAACTTGCTTTATTGGTGCTTATCAGTATATTGAGTGGACTAAAAGATTAAAGAGATGCGGCCTGGGGGTTTACCTCAGTGGTGCAGCAGCCTACCTCACAAGCTCAAGGTCCTGAGTTCGATCCCCGGTACCAAAAGAAAAAAGATTAAAGAGATGAAACTCATTGTATTAAAAGTTTTAGTAAAGAGTTCATTGGAGAAAAATTTAAACCATACGGTAAAATGATAGCCTGTTATTTGAGAGCTTGTTTGGAGGTTCTAGCAGGGAAGTGCAGCTACTTGTGTACCTTTGACCAGGGACATGCCCTCCTCTACTGGGGAAGGCCGACCAAGTGTGAAGCTTCTCGGGAGGATTGTACACCTAGCAAGGAGAGAGGAAGGGGATACCTCCCTCGCCAGGCAGATCCGCTGAATCAACCCTGATGATCAGTGGGTGACAAATGTTGTAGCCAGATCGCCCTCATGTATGATAGTCTGTTATATGAGTCTGAATTATGCTCTGGGCCACCAGAACCATAGATTATTTTGCACTGAACGTTCCTATGTTGCTTTGGAACTTTGATGAGCAGAGAGGAACTTGATAGTAGGTTGTGAATTGGCTTGTGTTCCTTCGTATGTTTAGAATTGACTGTTTCTCATGTATAACACTTCTCATTTTCCTTTTCTGGAAATGAATGTTTTTGTTAGACATTCTTACTTTCTTTTAATAGATCTCATTCATTAATTCATTTGGTAGTATTAGGGTTTGAGCCCAAAGCCTTTGCCGCTGAGCTACATCCCTAGCCGTTAAATTTTTTTTAAATTTTAGCTGGGAGTGGTGGCAGATACCTGTAATCCCACCACTTGTGAGGCTAAGGCAGGAGGATTGTCGTGAATTCAAGGCTATCTTGAACTGCATAGCAGACCCTGTCTCCTAAAAAAAAAATTAAAAAAAAATTTTTTTTGACAGAGTCTCAGTAACTTTCTAAGTTGCCTAGGCTGGGGCTTGAATTTGCAGTCTTCCCGTTTCAGCCCCTGAGAGTGCTGGGATTATAGGCCTGTTACCATGCCTAGTTTAGACCTTATTTTTAGAGCAATTTAAAGTTGACAGAAAATAGGGTTCTCATGTACTCCTTCATCTCCCAACATTCCACATCCATTGCTGAGCCAAATGATACATTATTAAGTAAAGTTCATACTTTTTTTTTTTTTTTGGCACCAGGGATCAAACTGAGGCCCTTGTGCTTACAGGGCAGGCGGCAGAACCACTGAGCTAAATCCCCAGCCCTACATTGTTTAGATTAGCATTTTCACTTTTTTTTTTTATAGTGCTGGGAATCAAATCTAGGGCCTGGTGCATGCTAGCATGCTGGGTGAGTATTCTACCACTCTGCTAATCCTCAGCCCTAGAGTTCTTGCTTTGTAATGTACATTCTTTGGGGGTTTGTTTTTGTCTGTTTTTTAAGACAGGTTCTCACTGTGTATTTCAGGCTGCCCTTGAACTCACTTTGTAAACCAAGCTAACCTCAAACTCGTAGTGATCCTCCTGTCTCAGCCTCTCAAGTGCTAGGATTACAGGCATGTTTCACCATACCTGGCCATTCCTTGGGTTTTTTGTGGGGTTTTTTGGTACCAGCGATCAAACTCAGGACCTTGCGCTTATGAGGCAGGTACGGTGCCACTGAGCTAAATCCTTGGCCCGTTCTTTTGGTTTTGACAAATGTATGATGTCATGTATCCTCCATTACAGTATTATAGAGTAGTTTTACTCCTTGAAAGTCCCCTGTGCTCCACCAATTCATCCCAGCCTTCCTGTGCCCAGGTAACTTGTTTAATGTTTGTAGTTTTGGCTTTTCTGGAATATCATATATGAATCATATATATATATATATATATATATATTTTTTTTTTTTTTTGGAACTGGGGATCGAACTCAGGTCCTTGCGCTTGCGCAGCAGGCGGTGAAACCACTGAGTTAAATCCCCGGCCCTTGAATCATATTGTATATAGTATTTTCAGGTAGGTTTCTTAGCAATATGTGTTTAAGTTTCCTCATTGTCTTTTTGTGGCTTGGTTTTTTGTTGTTTTTTTTTTTCTTTCTTTTTTGTGGTACTGGGAATTGAACCCAGGGCCTCCTACATGCTAGGCAAGTGCTCTACCACTGAGCTCCAGACTCACCATGAAGTTTTTTATAGCAAATTAAGATACTTTCTGAAACATCTGAAAGCAGCCTGTGCATTTTTTACATTGCTGAAGGAATATAACTATTATAATGTTTTTTTACAGATTATCTTGATAATGGTAATAATAAAATGGCAATTCAGCAAGCAGATAAATTATTGAAGAAGCATAAGGATCTTCATTGTGCTAAGGTAAGTTCATTTGCCTGAGTCACTTATATTTGTGGGCTATATTTGTAATTCTTTAAAGGGAAAAGATTTTTAATCTTTACTATTAGTATATGTGATATAATTATATTCATCTGGGGGAATTGGGACATGTACATATAGTATTACAGATGTTTGCTCTCTTTAGAGACTATTCGTGTTTTTTTCAGAGTACTTTGTAGGCTATTTATTTTCCTGATTGCCTACATGCCATAAATAATGTTTAATTGAAAGCTAACTATTTATATTGTGGGATATGACTTATCTAGTTATTTTATTTATTTATTTATTTTGAGGTACCAGGGATCGAACTCAGGACCTTGTGCTTATGAGGCAGGTGCGGTACCACTGAGCTAAATCCCCGGCCCCTGGTTATTTTATTTTTACAGAGTCCTTTTCCTTTTCCTTCTTTCTTTTCTTTTTTTTTCTTTTTTTTGGTGCCGGGGATTGAATTGAGGACCTTGCACTCGCGCGGCAGACACCAGAACCACTGAGCTAAATCCCCAGCCCACTTCTTTCTTTCTTTACTTCTTTCAGAGTGCTGTGTAGTCCAGGCTGGCCTTGAACTCATGGGTATCTTCCTGCCTCAGCTTCCTGAGTGCGAGGATAACATGCATGTACCACCATGCTGACATGCTGAGCTTCATAGGGTCCTTTTAAACGCTATTGGGCACTCTTAATATAACTGAAATAGGGAAGACTGTGGGGGAGTACTTTCTTTTTTTTTGTACAGGGGATCGAACTTGGGACCTTTCACTTACGAGGCAGGCAGTGGAACCATTGAGCTAAATCCCCAGCCCTGGGAGGTGCTTTTTGAGATGGGATCTTGCTATGTAGTCCAGGCTGACCTTAAACTCACCGTGTAGCCCAGGCTGGCCTTGAACTTGCAGGCATCCTCCTGCTCAGCCTGCCAAGTGCTGGGATTACAGGTGTATGCTACCACCTTCAGCAGGAATCTTGATTTGCTGTAAAAATAGATTTAGTTGACCAACAGCCTAGGCATACCTTATAATGTCTTTCAGATTTGTTTTGTTTGGTTTATATTTCCTTCTGTATCCTTTAAAAGCTGATTTTTCTCTCCTTGTGATTAGGTTTTAAAGGCAATTGGTTTACAGAGAACTGGAAAGCAAGAAGAAGCCTTTACTTTAGCACAGGAGGTGGCGGCCCTGGAACCCACAGATGACAATTCACTGCAGGCGCTCACTATTCTCTACCGGGAGATGCATCGGCGTATGTTTCCTTCTTTTCATTGCTTTTTGACCTGAGCTTATGTTTTTGGATATTTCTTACTGAGTTCTCTGTTTTGTTTTGTCCAATTTGCTTGTCACTTATGATTTGCAAGGATGACAATAGGTAGATTCATGCATTAACCACTGTCTGCAAAGACTTTGACAGAAAGGGTGGTTTAGATGTGATACATCCTTGAATTGGAACGAGGGCTAAAGTGAGTTCATTTGTAACACCGTGATTTGCTAAATGGGGCCCTTACCCTTGTTTTTGGTTGGTTGGTTGGTTGGTTGGTTATTTATTTATTTTTGTGGCACTGAGGATTTAACCCAGGGAACCCTTGAGCTACATTTCCTTTTTTTTTTTTGGTACCAGGGATCGAACTCGGGATCTTGAGCTTGTAAGGCAGGCGGCGGCACCACTGAGCTAAATCCCTGGCCCTTGAGCTACATTTCTCAGCTCTTTTTTCTTTTATTTTGAGATGGGGTCTTGCTAAGTTGCCCAGACTGGCCTTAAACTTGGAATCCTTCTGCCTCCCTAGTAACTGGGAATGCAGATATGTGCCACCTCGCTTGGATCGTTTGTTTTCATTTAGAATAACATAATAATCCCATTGTATTCATTACTCACCTTCAGTAATTATTAACTCATGGCCAATTTTGTCTGTACCCCAGCCAGATTATTTCAGAGCATATCCTAAAGAGTCTGTCATTTAATCTGTAAATAAGTTGCTTGAAATAAGGGGTTTTAATTGATTTCTTTTTTGTTTGTTTTTTGTTTTTTTTTGTTCCAGGGATCAGGACCTTGTGTTTGTGAGGCAGGCGCAGTGCCACTGAGCTAAATCTCCCGCTGTTTGTTCATTTTTTGGAGACAGGGTCTATGTAGCCCAGCCTCAAACTTGTGGCCTCAAACTTGTGGCAATCTCCTTGCCTCAGCCTCTCAAGTGTTAGGATCATAGCTGTGCACCACCACACCCAGCTTGTAATTGATTTCTTAGATATTTTATTGTGAAATAATATTTTTTCATGATGCATATTATGAAAGAATGTAGTTTATATAGCACGCTAATACAGTGGATGCACAGTAATGAACACTAGTAATGAGCAGCAGCTTAAGAAATAGAGCACAGTTGATATTAGGAAGGTTTCCTGTGTGTGTTCCTTGTCCACGTCCATTCCCCTTTTACCTCCCAAGGAGCACTTGCTCTGCTGCATTGTTTCTGAGTGTTTCTTGGTTTTTTTTCTTTTCTTTTTTGCAGTACTGGGGATTGAATCCTGGGCCTTTAAGCTATGCCCACAGCCCTTTTTACTTTTTATTATTTGGATGGCGTTGCTTTGTTTTATTTTGTCTTAAGGCAGGATCTCATTATGTAGTTTAGACCAGCCTTGAACTCACTATGTAGCCAGGCAGACCTTGAACTCTTGGACATCCTCCTGCCTTAGGCTCCTGAGTGCTGGGATTATAGGCATGCACCATCATACCTGGCCGGCCTTGTTTCTTTTCTCTTTTCCTTTTCCTTCCTGCTCTTTCTATTCCCTTCTCTCTTGTGTTGGGGATCATACCCAGGGCCTTGCAGATATTAGGCAAGTGCTCTACCATTGAGCTGTACCCCTAGCCCTCTTGCTTTTCTTTAAATCTTTTATCACATTTATTTCCCTAATAATAATACATTGTTATTTTTGCTTAATTTTTAATTTTCTATAAATGGATTTATATTGTATGTACTCCATGATTTACATTTTTAATCTAATATCCAAGTTGCTGTAGTTAACTCATTTTCATTGCCAGAGAATATTTATAGAGTGACTATACCATAGTCTAGGAAAGGAATTGTATCATAGAGTAAGTGTAAGTTTAGCTTAAACATAAAGATAGTGCCAGCTTGTTTTCTAAAATATACTAGCAGTTTATGAGTTATGATTGGTCTATATCCTAGTGAACATTTAATATTCTTTTTTTCTAATTTTTTTTATTGCTGGAAATTGAATCTAGGGCCTCCTAACATGCTAAGCATGTGTTCTACTACTAAGCTACATCCTCAGCCAATATTTGATATTCTTTTTTTT